ATTTGGGGAGTGACAGAAGTTTGAGGTCGGCCGCTAGAGCCTGGCCGAACAGGTGGGGACTGTCCTGAAATCCCTGTGGGAGGACCATCCATGTGAGCTGTTGAGAGTGACGGGAAGTAGGGTCGGTCCAAGTAAGCGCGAAAATGTCCTGGGAGTCAGCTGCCAAGGGAATGGTGAAGAATGCATCTTTAAGGTCTATAACTGAAAAGTGAGTTGCCGTCGGAGGAATGGTAGACAGGATGGTATAAGGGTTGGGAACCAGTGGGTGAATGGGGAGAAAGGCTGCATTTATTAGTCGAAGTTCTTGGACTAGCTGATAGGTTCCGTTGGGCTTTTTTACGGCCAAGATAGGAGTATTGTATGGTGAGTTGGTGGGCCTTAAGTATCCCTTGCGCAGTAGGGTATTTATGACAGGCTGCAGACCTAGCAGACTGGCCCTGAGGAGAGGGTATTGTGGCTGACTGGCGTGAGTGGATGGGTCCTTTAACTGGATGTGAACAGGCGGGCACTGGGCCAGTGAAGGGGTGTGGATGTTCCAGACTAGTGGGTTAACCACCTAGGCGAGCGAGGGAGGGAGCGAGGCAGGTTGTGGGGAGGGGGGCCTGGGCTAGAGGCCAAAAGGAGGAGTAAGGAAGTTGTTGGTAATGGGTTGGTGAGGGCAGCACTGGAGTTGAAGGTGATGGATGCCTGAAACTTAGCCAAGATGTCCCTCCCCATAAGGGGTATAGGGCATTGAGGCATGACCAGGAAGGAGTGGGTAAATGGGACACTGGAAAATAGGCACGTTAGTGTAGGAATTGTGCGTGGGATGAAGGTTTGACCCCCTACCCCAACTACCGGGGACCGGGATAGTGAGGTTGGTCCCCAGAACTCCCACAGGACAGAAAGGGTGGCTCAGAGTCTAGCAGGAGAGGATGGGACATCTGTCAACCGTAATTCTGACCATAGGCTCCCAAGCATTTGAGATATGCGTCAGGTGGGGAAACCCAGGGCCCCGTCATTCCAAAGCGGCCACGCCCAGTAGGTCCAGGGTGGAGTTGGGGGCTGACCCTGCTCCTCTCTGGGGGCTGGGGCAGTCCACCCCCCAATGTCCTGGAAGATTGCATTTGGGGCAAGATTTTGATGGAGGTTTAGGGTTAGGGCAGGCTTGCGCCCAATGTCCCTCCTTGCCGCATTTGAAACAGGGCCCTGGAGGGTCGCGTTTGTTCTGGACACTTCCTCTACCACTGCGAGGGCCGGTGTCTGTCCCACGAAGAGCCTCAACCAGCATTTGGTATTTTTGCCACTTAGCCTTTTCGTTCCGGTTGTGGTATACCTTGAAGGCGGCAGCCAAAACCTCATTTTGGGGTGTAAGGGGCCCTTGGTCTAGCTTTTTAATTTAGCTTTAATGTCAGGGTAGCTTTGGGAGAAGAAGTAAGTCATAAGGAGTTGATGGCCATCTGGGGTTTCTGGGTCTAAATTAGTAAATTGTTGGAGGACCTTGGTAAGGCGATCAAGGAAGGAAGAAGAGTTTTCGTTTTTGTCTTGGACCACTTCCTGGAGTTTTTCAAAATTAACAACCTTCTGTGCTGCCCACCTCAACCCGGAAACGAGACAGGTAGAGAACTGATCTCTGGCACTGAGGCCATTGGGGGAGTTATAGTCCCAGCTAGCGTCCTGGTCTGGGATTGCCAGTACCCTGAGGGGGTGTGCTGGGGAGGTCCGATGGACCTCATCTGCATGTGCTCTAGCCTGTTCCCACACTCTTCTGCGCTCTTCGGGGAGTAGGGTGTTGGAGAGAACCATGTAGATGTAGTGAAAGGTGAGGCTATAGGCTTGAAGGAGCTATTGGAATTTCTTGATATAAGTGGTTGGGTTAGTTGTGAAGGACCCAAGGCATTTTTCTACCTGGGACAGGTCTGAGATAGAGAATGGGACGTGAACTCGAACAATGCCTTCAGCGCCTGCCACCTCGTGGAGAGGAGCGAGGGTGGCTGGGGCTGTCTTGGAGCGAGCGGGTAACAGGAGGACTCCACAGGGTGGCAGGAACTGGAGGAAGGGGTGGGTAAAGATCAGGGACGGCGGGGGCAGACAGGAGAGGAGCCTGCGGGGGTGGATGGGTTGTCGATAGGGAGGAGGTTCATCTGCTGGGTTGAAGTCAGAGACAAAGGAAGGAGGTGGCGGCGTAAGCGGGATGTAGGAGGGAGGTGGCGGCGTTAGCGGAAGAGAGAGACCCTTTGCAGCCACAAGGAGGTGAACTGGTTTACATCAGAGGCAGAGACGAGGGTGCTCCCAGAGTAGAGAGAAAGACTTGGACATAGGGAATCTCTGCCCACTTTTTTGAATGCTCGCAGAAGTTAGAGAGGTCCCATATAATGTTGGGGTTTAGGGACCCGTCAGGGGGCCACTTATCTTGGTTGTCTAAGCGATAGGTGGGCCAGTCTTGGGTACTGAAGCGGATTAGACGATTGGGTTTAATGTCGGGAGTGAGAGAGGGTGGAGAGGTTGTCTAAGAGACATTCGAGGGGAGAGTCAGCCGGCAAGGATGACGAGTTTCCCATTTTAACAGCTGGGGCTGAGCAGGGTGTTCCCTGGACAGCCGGCTGTCAGGATATGAGGAGGTTGCAATAAAGCCTGTCATCACAGGACATTATTACAACCCGCAACTCTCCTGGAGAATCGAAGAGGTTAAGGATAACCTGGTACCAGGATTTTTGATGGCAGGAGGGAGTAGACTCGAAATTCCTGACGACCAAGGGAGGGGAAAACTGGTAGGGTTCTGCTGTGGCCTTAAAGACCTAGGCGGGGTGTGCCCCCCCCTTGCCCGGGACCGAAGGGACTGCCGGACGATCAATGGTTAGTTTCCTCTGGTTATCCCTGGCAAGGTTTTAGGTTTTCTGTTTAGGGAACACTTACGAATACGAGGGCCAGTGATGAATGCAGTGCTGGCATTCAAGAAAGTGGGCGAAGGCCTTAAGGGGTGAGTCCCGCTGGCGCCGGAACGGGGTCTTGCCTTAGAGCGAGAGGAACCCGATCTGAGTCACGGCACCAATGAAAGGCGGTGGCGCACAGTGAGACTCGGCACCGTTAAGGCCAAGAGATTTAATGAGTCAAACACGGTGGGCTACAGGACCTGAGGGTCAGGCTGTAGCCCTGAGCGCGTTGACCTTTATAGGGGCTTAGGGTGACCTGTCAGTCATTTATAGGTTGGCTGGCAGAGCTTCATTTAGTTTGGTGGATTTTTTGCGGACGTGGGAAAGGGTGCAGAGGAAAAACCCAGAAGGTACCGTTTCAGTCGCCATTTTAGTTTGCCAGGTCACCATTTTGGTGGGGGGCCGGGTTTAGGCCCCTTTCCAGGAAAGGGAGGGGATGTGGCTGTCGGTGGCCCTTCATAAGTTATTACCAGCCCTGTGTGTATTGAGAGAATGTTTTGTTCTACTGAAAAGTCCTCTTCCTGGTCTCAGATATTTTTTCTTTTTCTTTTTTTTCCCCCTTTAACACAAGGATCCTTATTCAGCTAAAGTCTCGGGGATACCCCTCTGTGGATCACCAGAACTTGTGCTGTCTCTTTCTCTTTGTAACTTCCTCCTCTAGAAATTGAGGCTGCCTTGGCCTCCCTAACTCCCATCTCTGTCTCCCTCAATTTGGGTTCTATTTGGGCTACTTTTACTGCAGCCTGGAAATTAGTTCTGAGCAGCAAGCTTGGTCGGAGATAAAAGCTTTCCTAGTTCCCATCTTTTAGGGATTCCAGTGCTGTGCTGTTGTCTAGTGTCTGCAGCGATTAATATTGTTGTCTCTTCTGGGTGTTTAAGGCAAGAGAGTAAATCCAGTCACAGTTATACCATCATAATCAGAAGTCTTTTTGTTACAGTTTTGGTTTTTTTTTTAATGAGTAAAGATAAACATTTTTATCAAAGGTTTTAGGATATTTATGTATCTTCTTTTAAAGAGTTTTCACCCTTTTTAAGTGCAACCCATTTTTCTGTGGTAATGCTGTCTTTTCATACTCTCTTTGTTCACATCTTAAGGATATTTGTATTTTTATTATACTTTGCTGATGGTATTTTTTGTGAGAGTCTACTCTTATATGAGGAAGCACTGTACCTCTAAATACTTAGTACTAGACCTCTGAGTTGGTATTGACAATGAGGAAGATATAGAAGTTACTTTTTCTGTGAGATGTTTGAATAATAGTTGAGCTAGGAACTCCTGCTTTATACATTATTCATTGTAAGTTTCTGAATGATAGATGCATGTAGAATGGTTATGATATATGAATGTTTTTCCAGGTGGCTACATAATTCACTACTTCCCTCTGTCAGAACTCTGCTCAAAGTGTTACCTTATCAGAGGGTCTTTTGTTTGCATTTGTAACACTGTTACACCTCCCTTACTATTTCCTATCCCTATCCTTCTTTGAGTTTTTTAATTCTCTATAGTAGCTGTTACAGTTTAATATGGCATATATTTTATTAATGTGTATGCTATCATTTTTCGTGTTCCTAAAATGCTAGTAGCATAAAGGCAAGAATTTGGAACCTTTTAATAGTGCCTGGCATAATATTGCTCAGTAAACATTGGTTAATTTTATTCTCTTTTTTACAGTAGCTTGCTCTGGCATAAAGTGAGAGGTGAATTGGAAGAGGCAGAGAAAGGAGAAAAAAGGGATAGTTTAGGTTTCATCATACGAGTTAGGTGGCAGAAGCATAGCTGGAATGATAGCAGTGGGAATAAAAGAGCTTGATGGAAGTGACATTGAAAGGAGTAGAGGCTCACTAACCATGGATGTGTACATGTTATTGTTGAATAAAAATAAATAAATAAAAAGTAAAAAAATGAAATACTTGTATTTGGTTACATTTTTAATACAGATTTTTATAGAGCAAAAAAAATGACTGAGTAGATCTTGGTGACTTTTTTTCCCTCATAAAACACTACTTAAAAATACAAACATTAATGTATCTAGCAGGTGTCATGTTGGTTTTTCTGATTTACTTTTTTCTTGCTTTTTCTTTTTTTAGAGCTTTGCTTCCTGTTTTACATCACAAATCTAAAAAAGGACCTCCCCGTCAAGCCAAATATGCCATTCATTGTATCCATGCAATATTTTCTAGTAAAGAGACTCAGTTTGCACAGATATTTGAGGTAATGAGAAAAAGTTTGTTTGTTTTATATTTCTTAGTTAAAAACAAATGATGATTATATGAAATGTTCACATTTGGTGATGCATAATTTTGTAGTATATTTTAGAATTCCATAAAAGCAACATTGATAAGTGGTCAAAATCCAGAAGTGTCTTAGTATTCAGATGTTTAATGCCAACTCAAATACAGAAATTAAGCATTATAACAATGCTTTTATAAATCTGTATTTGGAGACTTTCTTTAAGCAGGTAATGACACATAAAATCATAGTTACAGATAGTAGATAACAGATGATTATTCAGTCAAGTTACAGGTTTAAAAAATTTGAATTGTTTGTGATTTTACTGAAGTATAGGGTTTTGTAAATCAGTACTAGTGGTGATATAAGGTAAACATGTATTTTCATCGCTGACCTAATTTTGTATTAGATGTAAAGTTTTTTTAATATTATTGACTCTACATTTTATCCAGGCATTAATTTTATTGCTATCTATTGTAATTAGGAGCTAACTCTAGTATTGTCATTGCAAATAAAAGCTAAGCAGGAAATCTATAAAGTCCTAATTTATGATTTTAGTTTAGAAGCCTTGGGTGAAGTCAAAACAATTTGGAAATTATGCTGCAGCTACTTACCTTAAATACTTTGACTTATCTTTGTTTTAGAAACTTTTATGCTAATTTTGTCATATTTTCATGTATTATGTTAAAGACTTGAAGGAAAATGGAAATTTTTTAAATCTTTCAAACACTATCTTTGCTGTAGATAGCAAATAATTTACTTATTTTTGTGTATTTGAGGTCAGGTGTTTTCTGCAGTCTATTTTTTGTATATGAGAATGTTTTCAATAAATTTATGCTGATTTATAGGAAACTTTTTTCTTGATAAATCTCCTTTTTGTTCCTTTCTATTATGATAATGAGAATAATATTGATATAACTTGCATCTGTAGGGTACTTTTATTTTCATTTTGATACTATATAAATCTGCTATTTTCTCTCTAAAAGAACCTTACCTGTAGTCTTCCTGTTATAACATTTAAGGTTGGCAGGCTTTCTTACAAGAGGTTTCACCGAGGTATCTGGCCTTTTTGAGGTTGCCACTAATCTGACCATTTATTTTGGCCATTAATTTTGGTTTTTTTAGAAATGATTTTATTATTGTAGAAAATTATCAAACTTATTGTTATAATAAACTAACTGAAAAACTATACTATCATGTTTTTGTTTATAATGTGAACAACAAGCTGGCACTTAGATGTGTAATGGAAGAACTAAGGGAAGTCATTGGGGTAACATTTATGAGTAAATGAAACCTCATATTGCCCTTATATGCTGCCCTTAACAGTTTTGTATTGCTTTTTGAGCCTAGAATTCTTGCAATGTGGGAGACTAGAATGCTAGTTTTTCATAGAATGTGGCATTAAAATTTCTAATAGAAAATATATTCACTTATTCAAAATTAAAAGGATGCAAAAATAATATACAGTGAAAAATCCCCCCATTGCTGTATCCCAACCACTGGGTTCCCTTTCCCAGAGGTGCAACTGTTATTACCAGTTTTTAAATGTACTTTTCCAGAGATAGTTTATTCATATATAAGTATACACATACCCACACATTTTGTTTCCCCTTTTGCCAATGATAGAATATTTTAGTACATCCTTTTGATTTTCCTATTTAACAAAACATTTTGGTTATCATTCTATATGGGTATATGTATGAAGAGTGTCTTCAATTCTGTCAAGGCAAAACTTATAGTAATGGTTGCATTTTTATTTGTTATAGTATGTAATAGTTGATGCTGTAATAAAGATCCCCAAAATTCAAGTGACTAAACAGAATAAATGAAAACTTACTTCTTGCTCCCAAAAGTCCAGTTGGGTGTTTGAATGACCTCCTAATCAGTGGCCTGTGGACATAGACTGTTTCTGATTAGTGACTTCTCTTTAAATCCCACTGGATTCTTGGCATTAAGCTCAGCTAGTGAGTAAAGAGAGAGCCTGTGGAGAAGACACGGCTCATACCTGCCTCAGGGCAGGCGTACTTCACTTTGACTCCCACTGCCTTGGCCGAAACTCATTCTACATCCTCACCTAATTGCAAAGGAGGCTGCAAGTGGAGTCATACTTATGCCCAGGAAATAGAAACAAAGTGAATATCGGCGAGCCCTAGCAGTCTCTTAACATTCTCATGTACATGGTTGGTCATAAACTGCATGCTTCATAATATGATTCTCTATGCTGAAATGTTTCTTTACCAACCTCTAAAGTGAGTTGGGCAAAACTGAAAATGTTTGAACCTGGTGTCTTCTAGTTGTAGTTAACCTGTAGAAGTCTAAATGTAAGCTTGAGTGACTACTTACGCTATGTACATTTATTGAAACTTGAAATTTTTGAAATTTGAAGATAAAATATGTGAACCATTTTTTTGCATATGTATAGCATTGAATATATTTTCCTCCCCTATTTTCAGCCTCTGCATAAGAGCCTAGATCCAAGCAACCTGGAACATCTCATAACACCATTGGTTACTATTGGTCATATTGCTCTTCTTGCACCCGATCAGTTTGCTGCTCCTTTGAAGTCTTTGGTAGCTACTTTCATTGTGAAAGATCTTCTCATGAATGATCGAGTAAGTTCTATTTTTGGATATGTGTTCTTCATTATGTTATCTTGTAAAATTTTATCTAATAAAGAAAAAGTGAAATAAATGATAGTAACATGTCCATTTTGCTGCATTTATTTTAATTTTTTCTTTTTTTTACACACATGTATGCTTAAAATTTATGCCATATCTCCATTATAAGTAAAACAATATGGAAATATCTCTTTAGTTGAGCATAGGTATTTTACCTCAAATACATTCCTTGATAACTATAAAATATCACCTGAATCTGTTTCAGCTTTACAGGGGTTTAATTTTTGAAATTGTGCAGATTGGCAAACCAGTTCACAGCATGGTTGTCATGACTATAGTTGTTTCTTTCCCTATATTCAATAGAGAATGAAAAGAGCCTTGAGAGAAAAGTAATGATTTTGTTTGACTCTAGTTTGTGTGTGTTTGGAATGGGGCATGTTTGAGCCCAGGAGAGTTGACTTCCTTATACTCACATGGAGTTTTATGCATACATGTGTATAGGCATATATTTATATACACAGAGAGAGAGAGAGAGAGACAGAGACAGAGATAGAGACCCCCCCACCCTCGCCAGACCTAACCCTCAGTTTTGTGTCTACTATGCCCTTAGCACTGTACTGTGTTCTCTGAAGAGTTAAAAGAAATAAGAGAGAAAGTTTCTCCTCCAAAAAGTGTAATATAAATAGTAATATTTGGGTTAATTTGCCACCTAAAATTTTTAATTTTTACTTTGTTCTATCAGTTATATGTTCATTTTTCTCTTATTTTTGACCAAATATATTTATTTCATTTTTTTCTCTTACTGGCCTGTTTTGAGTTTTGCTGTTCTTTTCTTGGCTGCCTTAGAAACTCCAGCATGCACTCTTGACTATTAAAGGCCAATGTCAATTAGTCTGTTTTGAGCTTTCAGTACATTGCAAGGAACCTTAGAATCCTTTAGTTCTCTTTTTTCTCTGATGCTTTTTTCTTTGTGCCCCTGTTCACAAAGGACTATTACTATTGTTATTTTATAGTAAATATTTATATTTTCAAGTATATGTTCTCTTTTTGTCATTTATTTCTATGTGATGATTTTCTTTCTACAGAAAGAACTATGTTACTATTTATTTTATTGTGCATTCCTGCTAATGAATTTTCTTAGTTTTTGTTTGTTTGAAAATGTCTATTATTTGCTTTCAGTTTCTAAGGAATATTTTCTCTGGGTTTAGAATTCTAGACTGGTACATTTTCTTCCATCAGTGATTTTAATATATTGATCTATTATCTTACATTTTATTATCTTTTTTCTTGGAGTCTGCTGACAGTCTTGTTTCTCTGAAGGTTTTCTGTCTTTTTGCTGTGAATGCTGTCAGCCTGATCTATTATATTGGTCTCTAGTTTTGCTGTGGTGTGTTTGGTTGTGCCTTCCTTCATGTTTACCCTTCTTAGGGCTTGTATAATAGTTCTTTTTGAATATATGGCTTATTGTCTATAAATTTTGAATATTTTTCAGATATTATCTCTTTAGATACTACTTCTGTTTCATATTCTCTTTCTTCTCTTGCTGCAGTTCTATTTACACACTTTAAACGTATGTTTTTTTTTTTTCTGTGACCTAGCTATCTGACACTTTGTTTTTTTCTGCCAGTCTCTTTATGCTTCAGTTTTTGTTTTTTTCTGACCTGTCTTTGGGTTCACGCTCTTCAGTTTTGTCTAATCTTATGTTAAGCTTATGCTTACACTTATATATAATACACATATAAATATTTCAATTCTGTAATTGTCTTACTGTTTTTAAACATAGCTCTTTGTTCCCTACCAGAATTCACTTGTCATTTAGTCCTCCAACATTTTAATTATGTTCAGGTTCGTATCTGCTAGGCTTGTTATTTGCATCTCTTGTGATCCTTTTTCTCCTGTCTGCTTTTTTCTCTCAATTTTGGTCATGTCTTGTCTTGCATATGTGTTGATTTTGATTGAGTGGTAGACATTTTGTATGAGGAGTTGACCCGCCTGGGCAACTTGGCAAGACCTCATCTCTACAATAAATCAAAATGAACCGGGTGTGGTAGCGCGCACCTTTAGTTCCAGCTACTTGGAAGGCTGAGGTGAAAGGATCGCTGGAGCCCAGCAGGTCGAGGCTGCAGTGGCCGGGAGCGGCCACTGCACTCCAGTCTGGGTGACAGAGTGAGACTCCAACTCAAAAAAAAAAAAAGATAATTTGAGACTCTGGATGAGTTTATATTTTTCCAGAGAGAGGATTTACTTTTACTTCTGGCAGGCAGTTAAGTATTGTCAGATCACCTCCATCCAATTGGAATCTTGGCTTGTTTTTCACAGGATTATTCTTTTTCTGGTCACCTCTGTGTTTGGAGTGTAGTTGTCTGGAATCTATCTGAAAGTCTAGTATATTTAGCAAAGCCTCTGCTCCTTATTGGGCCCAGAATTCCAAATCTTGTTCTTCCAGCTCTGTGACAGTGATGAACGCTTTGCTCAACTTCCCCTTCCTTCACTTTCAGAATCAGTCATCATCTGTGTGAGAAGCTGATCTGAATGCCAGTCTCAAATCTTCTGACTTACCTCCTCTTTTGAGACTTTGCCCACAAATTCTCACTGCTTTGGCAGTCTGTTCCCTTTGATCTGACTTTTAAAAAATATTTTGCCCAGCTTTTCCATTTGCTTCAGTGAGAAAATTGGTTCAAAACAACCTAGTCAGATCTCATCTGAAAGAGAACTCCTTACCACTTTTAATCCATTAATTTTTCTTGTTTTATGTTATATTTCATGTGTATAAAGAAATATATGTAACATTTGTATATCTTATATTTTAAAATACAATGATTACCTGCAAACTGTTAGTTCTTGGTTTTATTACTGTTCAATTCTTTTTTTCTTTTTCCTTCCTTCCCTAGATACTCACTCTCTGAATTTCAGGTTATTTCCTAACAATGAGAGCAACAAATTTTACTACCTCTTTGTTTAGTTTTGCTTGTTCTTGAGGTTTATAAGAATTACATTATCCCATATAATATAATGAGTGACATCCTTTTATCACTCCCCATCTTTTCTGAGAATAATCATTGTTAAAGCTACCTGTGGTTCATTCATTCCTTACTCAGTATTAATCCATTGTAAATATCTAATTATTTATTTATTCTTTTAGTAGATTTTGGAATGTTTCCATTTCTTTTTTCTTTTGAACAGTGCTGCTATGAATGTTTTTATAGAAACCTCCTGCTACATATGAGCAAGAATTTCTCTGTTTTATTCCTGAGTGAAACTGATGAATCACAGCATATATACATATGTAACTTTTCATTTTACTGTCAAACTGTTTTTCAAAGTGGTTGTTAAAACTTATTTTCCAGTAGGGGGATTGTGGAGTCGTATGGGAGTTCGATTTTTAGACCTTTTAGGAATCACCACACTGATTTCCACAGAGGTTGTACTAGTATACTCTCCCACCGACAGTGTAGAAGTGTTCTCTTTTCACCACATCCTCTAAAGCATCTGTTGTTTTTTGAGTTATTGATGATGGCCATCATGAATAGAGTTAGGTGGTATCTCAGTATGGTTTTAATTTGCATTTCTTTGATGACTGGGAGGCTGAACATTTTTTTTAATATATCAGTTGGCTGCTTATATGTCTTCTTTAAGAAGGGTCTATTCATATTTTTTGCCCACTTTGTGATGGGGCTGTTGGTTTTTTTCTTTTCAGCACATTTGAATTCGTTATAGATCCTAGATGTTCGGCCTATGTCAGATATACAGTTGACAGATATTTTTTCCCAGTATGTGGCCTGTCTCCCCTCTGTCTCGATGGTTTCTTCGGCTTTGCAGAAGCTTGTCAGTTTGATGAGGTCCCACTTGTCTCTCTTATCTCTTATGGCATGGGCACTTGGGGTTTTGATCAGGAATTAGTTGCTAGTTCCTATTTTCATAAGGTTGTCTCCTACATTTTCTAAGGTTCTTATAGTTGGAGGTTTTACCTTTAGGTCTTTGATTCATTTAGAGTTGACCTCCCATATGACCCCACAATCCCCCTACTCGGAATATACCTGGAGAAACTCAAATCATTCTATAAAAAAGATACCCACATGCATATTTTCTGCAGTATTATTCGAAATAGCAAAAACATGGAACCAACTGTGCTGCCCATCAAAAGAAGACTGGATTTAAAAAATGTGGTACATATACACAACGGAATATTATGCAGCCATAAAGAAGGACAAAATTATGAACTTCACAGCAACTTGGATGGACTTAGAGTCTATAATACTGAATGATCTATCACAGAAACAAAGAACCAAGTATCACATGTTCTCACTCATAAGCAGACCTTGAACAACTCACATAATACTATAAAAAAAGGGATTGGCAGTAGTGGGAAACTGCCAGAGTGGGGAGCACACCTTATCAACAAGGGTACCTGCATAACGAACATTTGTATACCTAACCCTGAGTTGTACCTCACATCTTTAAAATAAATAAATTTTTTAAAACCCCTTATTTTCCAGGCTGGGCATGGTGACTCAAGCCTGTGATTCCAGAACTTTGGGAGGCAGAGTCTAAAAGATTGCCTGAGCCCAGGGATTAGAGACCAGCCTGGGTAACTTGGCGAGATCTCATCTCTGCAGTAAATTAAAAAAAAAAATCAGCAAGCCATGGTGGTGCACACCTATAGTTCCAGCTACTTGGAAGACTGTGGTGGAAAGATCACCTGAGCCCAATGTGTCCCTGCAGCTTTTGTGAATACAGTACTTCTGAGTTAGCATCAATCTCTGCTGTGTCCTTTGTGTACCCTCTATCTCATCTCTACAATAAATCAAAAAATTTGCTGGGTGTAGTGGCATGTGTCTGTCGTTCCAGCTACTTGGAAGGCTAGGGAGGAAAGATCACCTGAGCCCAGCAGGTTGAGGCTGTGGTGGTCGTGAGTGTGCCACTACACTCCAGCCTGGGCAACAAAGTGAGACTCCAATGTTAAAAAAAAATCATACCTATATCTATGTATACATTAAGAGTTAAAACAAATCAATTCCAGATGGATTAAATTTTTTGTGTGTAAAAAAAACCTTCGAACTTTTACAAGAACATATGGGAAACTATTTTTATGATATTAGAGTAGGGAAGAATTTCTTAAACAAGATGTAAAAAGTATTAACTGCAAGAAAGGAATGACAAATATTATTACATTAAAAGTAGTAGCTTTTGTTCAAAGGACACAATTAAGGAATAAAAATACACAACATAAATGAGGTTTTATATGTTTTATGGAGATACTGAGACATGTACCTGATAAAAGATTAATGTCTATGAAAATTATGGGAAAAAGACAACCCAGAGAAGACACAGGAAAGGTGGCAGCATGAGTGGTGACTAGATAGACAAACTTAACTAGTAGCCAGGGAAATGCAAATTAAGACTATCTACCAGATGGGCAAAAATTAAGAAATCTGACAATAATATTATATAATGCTGGTGGGAAAATAAGGTTTTTGTTTGTTTGTTTGCTTGAGTCGAAGTCTCACTGTTTCCCAGGCTGGAGTGCCGTGGCATGCTCACGGCCACTGCAGCCTTGACCTGCTGGGCTCAGGTGATCCTTCCACCTCAGCTTTCCAAATAGCTGGAACTACAAGCATGTACCACCACGTACAGCTAATTTCTTGACTTATTGTAGAGACAAGGTCTAGCCGAGTTGCCCAGGTTGGTCTCAAACCCCTGGGCTCCAGCAGTCCTCTCGCCTCAGCCTCCCAGAGTGCTGGGATTATAGGTGTGAGCTACCGCATGCAGCTGATGTTTTTCTACTAATGATGCAGATGTTCATAAATTGCATATCTTATTGGTAACATAAGATTAAAAAGATGTACATCAATATCCCATTTAAATCCATATCTCCTTTAATGCTTTCATCTTAATGGGTGTATTTTCCTATCCCATAATTTTCAGATTTTCTATATCATTGATTTTTGTTGTGGTTTTATTCTTTTTAAACTTATCTGTGGTAATTTGTAATTGTCTCAGATAGTTTTTTCATGAAATTTTTTGTTTTCATTTTTCATTATGTACTAATTTATACTGATTTAATTTTCATGTGTGAATTAAATATTTTCGTGTAGTATATCTTTGAGTAATTTTTTTAAAATGGATTGTAATTTGGAAAATTTCTGTCTTGATTTCTAGTGTTCACTCTTCAATATTGTTTTTTGAATACTGGAATTCTGTGACTCAAGTCATGTGACTGCAGAAAATCCAGACCATCTTTTTTTGTGTGTGTGTGTCATGTAGTCTTGTAGCTGAGAACTCTGAAGTTGATTTGATTCTTGCTCCCATTTGGGGTCTTTTTGAAATCCTTAGTTCAGAAATTAATCAAGATGTGCCTAATGTGATCTTTTTCATTATTTCCACACTATACGTTGAAGTCATGTCCTTTCTGAAGAATTGCATCTTGAGCTATTTGCAAATCTTCAGCTCTGTGTGTTGGTTGGGGAAGTTTGCCTTTCTGGGTGTTGGGGCTGCCTGTTGTGTTGCCAGAAGGTTACCCGAGATGATACTCAATTCTTGTTTCTTGACCTGGTGATAAAAATGGGATCTCAAGTGTTCCAAGAGTGGGTTCAACTCTTACTACTTTATTGTCTTGGCTGCTACCATAAATTCTAATCTGCCAGGACCTGCAGCTTATCCCTGGGATCATTTTGTGGTTGTGCTGTGGGGAGGGGAGACTAACTTAACCTTACTTTTTTTGAGGGTGCTTTTCTTTTGCGCCTTTACAGAGGTATAAATCTTCCAGCTCTGTTAATGTTTATACTGTACATTTTCTGTTTTCCAAAGTTTTCCTATGATTTTGGCACCTTTTGTAGCACTAACTGGTGTGTGTGTGTGTGTGTGTGTGTGTGTGTGTGTGTTGCCATTTTAGTGATACTTAAGTAAAAATACATTAATACATGTTTTCTGTTACCTGTCCTGAACTGGGAACCCTTCTAATTTTTTTCTTCACTCAAGATTTAAAACAAACACACAAACTTTATTTTGTTTAAGAATGACTCTGTTTGGCTCTATTGATTTTTATTCTAGTTCTTGCCAGCTACCTTAAATAAGTAAACTATTAGTTTCAAAAGGGGCTAACCAAAGGAGTGGACAAGAGGTTAAAGTTAGCCTACCACACACCCAGAAAGAGCCAACTAGTGATGGGATTTGTAAGTGCTATATATGGGTGCTAGTAAAAATATGCCCTTTTTTAATAATTGGGATTAGATGAGGTGTTTTAGTCAAATGTAATTACAGTCACTGCAGAAGACAAGGATTGCATTCATTCATTAACTGTTAATTGAACATGAGAATTCATATTCATGTTTTAAAGTCCTTAATTTTTGTTTAGCTTCCAGGAAAAAAGACAACTAAGCTTTGGGTTCCAGATGAAGAAGTGTCTCCTGAGACAATGGTCAAAGTAAGTAATATGCATAGATCTACTGGTCTGAATATACTTAATATATTGTAATACAACTAAAAGTGTTAAAATTTCTATCACAAAGGTTTGGCCTTTAAAATCACTCAGGTAAGCCGGGCTGTGTGACTCAGCCTGTAATCCTGCGCTTTGGGAGGCTGAGGTAAGTAGATTGCCTGAGCCCACGGGTTTGAGACCCGCCTGGGCAACTTGGTGAGACCTCATCTCTACAATAAATAAAAAAAATTAGCTGGGTGTGGTAGTGCGCACCTGTAGTTCCAGCTACTTGGAAGGCTGAGGTGGAAGGATCGCCGAAGACCGGCAGTTCGAGGCTGCAGTGGCCGCTCCCGGCCACTGCATTCTAGTCTGGGTGACAGTGAGACTCCAATTCGGGGGAGGGGGGGAGGATCACTCAGGTATTTATAGCATTATTGTATAGCATTATTTCGTGTTATTACCTCATGTGCTGTCAGAGTGTAAGGTAATAATTAGATACCTGTGGCCTGTGGGCAGCAGCTGCACATAATGTAACCTGAGAGAAGGAAAATCTTTGAAAGCTGTTTCTATGTTTCTGCTTCTAAGAGATCAGCCTTTTAATGGCAAAAGGCAAAACTGGTGTTTATGGACATTTCCCTATTTTTTAAAGATGCTAATCCAGATTTTAAGCCTATTATCTTTTCCATGGATTTAATAAAACTATTTTTATTTTTTAAATGCACCTGTAATTTCTTTAATTAAGGAATTACACATAAAAGATCGATTATCGGTGGTGTAAAGAGTACTGATTTATTAGCCATCTATGATCTGTAGTGTAGACCTCATCCCAGTCTACTGCCAAGGCATGAGGCCCAGGAACAAATATATAGCTATGGGTGTAGATATAGATATCTATATCTACACCTATATCTATAGAGATACTTGAAAGCAGGATATATTGAAAGAACAGAAAAAGCTACCACAGTGGGAGGGGACCCAGAGGGGGTGCCCAGGAAACAAATATATTAAATACTATTTTCTGTAAACCCTTTCAGGCTTTCTCTCTCTCTCTCTCTCTCTCTCTCTCTCTCTCTGCATTTTATATTATGAACTACTTTTCACATTATTCTGGCTTCAGATTGTGATACTATTTTTGCAGACCTGTAGAGCAGCCACCCCCTTAGCATCATTGAATAATACCTGATACTTTGAGTACCAGTATACACCTATTTTCTCAGCATTGGTCTTAAGCAGCAGTTTTGTGGAGTTGAGAGCAACTAGAGGGCAGGCCGCTTAGACTTAGGTTCATGCATACTGAATGCTCAGGAAAGGAATCTTCAGAGTATCTGTCATGTTCCAGGCACTGTTCAAGACCCTCTTCGTTCCTAGCTTATAAAAACCTAAGATAATAAGTGAGGAAGAGATAGTATGTACATCATTTTTAAAAGAGGTAATATATACTCCTTCAAAAGGGTTGTAAACATTAAAGGCAGTAACGTGTGAAAGTCTTAAGTACTTCATAATTATAGGATATAGCACAAGTGGGAGATGGTGTCATCACTTAGGCAGAAAAGATTGAATAAAGTTTGCAGGCAGGAACTTAACTTTTCTGATTAGGGAAATTACCATGATTTTCCTCTAGGTTCTAGAGGGTAGAATGCATGTGGAGAAAACATTTTCAAACAAAAGAGCCAATCTTTAGTTAGATCATTCTTTTTGTACTCCCCTGGGGGTTGAAGCATCTTTCATTTAAAACATTCAAGGCTATCCTTATATTCATAGAAAATAATTGTTATATTTTCTTTTTTTTAAAGCATTCATCAAAAACCTTTTTTGATTTTTTTTCTTTAAACAGTGAAATGGAAATTCTTTTAAAATGTATTAATGTTTTATTTGTCAACTTGTCTCTTAAATAGATTCAGGCGATTAAAATGATGGTTCGATGGCTACTTGGAATGAAAAATAATCACAGTAAATCAGGAACATCTACCTTAAGATTGCTAACAACGATATTACATAGTGATGGAGACTTGACAGAACAGGGGAAAATTAGGTATGCAATTACTATTTCAAAGGTCTTTGGATTGCACAATATTTCAACTGCTGGTGTAACTGTTGAATGGTACACTTTTTTTTGAAAAAAATAATTAGCATTGCTTTGTACATATGAATATATATTTACTAGAATATGCTTTTGTGCAGTATTTTATAATGACAGTCACATGTCTGGTACAGGGTACTGGTATAAATTGCAAGTATTTTGAACAGTAGATGCTTACTTTTTGGAATAGCTAATTGAAAAAGTGTTAGTGTACCAATCAGTAACTGATGTTACATTTTTGTTAATGTCTAAAGGGACATTTTGTTAATGTCTAAAGCACAGACCGAGTAGAAAGCAACTTATTGAATCCGTTTCCAGAGTATAAGTAAATGCATATTTTAAAAATGTACTTAATGTAAATTATTGAAAATGAACACTGCTTTTTGTTTTTGTTTTTATTTTGCTTTGTGTTTGAAAGATGTGGTATAGTGTAGTTATTGAAAACATGCACTCTGGAACCCAGGTTTAAATCGTAGCTCTACTACTTACTAGTCAGGTGATTTTTATCAAGTTGCTTTAATCTCCTGGTACCCTAGTTTTCTAACCTATAAAATAGAGATAATAATAATATATACCCTCTTATCTAGCTATTATGATATAATTAAATAAGTTAGTGTATTTAAGGTTTTTAAAGCACTACCTAGCACATAATAATCAGAAGCAGTGATGATAGCAGTGGTTCTTATATCAGTGTTAGCTGAAATTTAGAAGTTTGTTTTCTATGTAAACACAAGTGTCAGTTAGTGCCCCTTTTTAGTAATATAAGATGAGAGGATGCCCCCTCTCCCATTATATCTAGTCTAAAGACTTCTAAGAGAAAGTATAAAAAGGTGACTGTCAGCTACTTTCTGCCTTTCTATTGTCATTTCTGTTCTCCTTGTCTGTTTTGCTTATACTGTGCTGTTTGCATAGAATGTTAGAAGAAGTACATCCTTCTCAAACAAAACATTTAAAAATGAAACTTAATAGATTATTCATTCTATCTGCCTATCTGTACAGTGTTCCATCTGCTTTTATTCCAATTAGTTGTTTTCATCTCTTTCCATAATTTATATGTGCCAGTGTTTAGGATTTACAAATAATAAGTATGTTTTGATTTAACATTTATTCCGATTTTGAGATATTTTTGTACTAGACAGCTTATCCTGGTGGAAAAAGAGAATTTTTCCCAGGATTAATACATTTGTCTCATAAATTAATTTTTAGATTACATAATTTTATACTTCTTGTATGACCAGTTATATTCAGCTATATAAACTTTTATTAGAGAGGCAATATACTTTAGTGGTTAACAGTATGAAAACACATTGAAGGCATATCATACAAGTTCAAATTTAGATCCCACCATTTATCAGCTGCTGTTATTTATCAGCAAGTTATTCAACTTCTACATGTCTTCAGATTCCTAATCTGTAAAATGGAGATAACAACAGGTTTAAGTGTTATAAGGTTATAAGGTTTACGTGAGAATTATTATATATTAAAATACATAGTATATAATGTCAAGTAAGTTGTGTTCTGTGGAACCCATATGACATTCAGGAACATTTATTTATGGGCTGCCTAGAATTGGAGTAAGAAATATTTCTGGCCAGGCTCGGTGGCTCAGCCTGTAATCCCGCACTTTGGGAGGCTGAGGTGAGTGGATTGCCTGAACCTGGGGTTCGAGACGTGCCTGGGCAGCTTGGCGAGACCTCATCTCTCTACAACAAATCAAAAATTAGCCGGGTGTGGTAGCGCACACCTGTAGTTCCAGCTACTTGGAAGGCTGAGGCAGAAGGATCTCCGAAGCCCAGCAGGTCGAGGCTGCGGTGGCCGGGAGTGGCCACTGCACTCCAGTCTGGGTGACAGAGTGAGACTCCAACTCAAAAAAAAAAAAAAAAGAATTATTTTTGAATAAACAAAACAGATGGAGCCTTGGGGCGGAGGTGTCCTTTGCTTAAATAGAAAGCTTGCTTTTTTGTGTTTACTTCTTAAACTTCAGTGTAAGATATTATTTGAAGGAAAGTTTCCTCAGCTTAATAAAGCTAAAAATAGAAAAACAAAAGCTTACTGTATTAGATAGAAACTTTTGGTCCAGATGGAAAGTTTTAAGGACAAATATGTAGGAAGCATCTGTTGTCCATATCTGTGAGGAAAAGTATCCAGTAGTTAGTTGACTTGTACTCTGCATTAAGAACTATGATTTACTGGCCAGGCACAGTGGCTCACGCCTGTAATATTAGCACTTTGGGAGGCAGAGACAGGAGGCTTGCTTGAGCCCAGGAGTTTGCCTGGGCAACATAGTGAGACCTCATCTCTACAGAAAATAAAAATATTAGCTGGGCACGGTGGCATGCACCTGTGGTCCTAGGCACTAGGGAGGCTGAGGCAGATGGAGCACCTGAGCCCAGGAGTTAGAGGCTATGGTGAACCATGATCATGCCACTGCACTCCAGCCTGGGTGACAGTGAGACAATGACTCAAAAAAGAAAAAGCAAAACAAGCTATGGTTTATGTATTAAGAGCTACTTGAAATATTGCTGCTAATGAGCTGAAAAGACAAGGTCCTGCAACCTTTGAGTGCAGTCCTACCACTTTGGAACCTTACCAATGTTGGAAAGCATTCAGTCAGTATTTTTATATAATCCTTAGTAAAAGGAAAAGTCTTAAACTTTTATTAGATCTTGGAAAAGTAAGATTGTGTCTTTTCTTTTTGATCCCCCTCAGTGCTGTGTATGTGATAGACATATATTTGCTGTATGAATGTTGAATACTCATTTTTTCTGTAATGCTACAAAGGGGATCTAATTAAGGAGCTACAACTTTTCTCTCCTTACATTAGTATATTAGAATAATTGCTTAGATGTATTTACTAGTCGAATTCTTTAAATTGTGCTTTATTTAGCAGTTTTATTTTCTGGAACTTAAAAGGAACTGCTTGATAATATTGGAAAAGATGAATTCTAGCTAAGAACAGTAGAGTTTTATCCACCACACCTGCTTTATTCTTTTTTTGTGCTTAGCAGAGTAGTAGTGGTTGACTTACTAGCAAGTTAAGACATTTTTGTGCCTAATCTATAAGTAAACCCATGTCCAAAAAATTCATGGTAGAATACTTAAAACCTCACAACTAAACATACAAACAAGATTCCTTCTAGGCTTGGCTAAGAGGGATTTTGTGTAGGATGAGAAAATTAAATGACTATAGTGACACTAGCAAAGACTATGTTTAAGAGAAGAATTTTGTAGTATTGGACACCATCTTCCAAAGTTAGTGAACATAATATGGTGTTCACTGTAATATGCTTATCCCTAAATTATTTTGCCTTCATTTATTCAGACTGCTGTAACAAAATACCATCGACTGAGTGGCTTATAAACAAAAGAAATTTATTTATTATAGTTCTCAATGTTAGGAAGTCCAAGATCAGGGTGTCTGCATGCTCAGTTCTTGTAAGGTCCTCTCCCAGGTTACCAACTGCTGACTTCTTGCTGTGTCCTCAGATGGCAGAAGTGGCAAGCAACCTCCCTCAGGCCACTTTTTTAAGGGCGCCAGTCCCATTCATAAGGGTTACCCCTCATGACCTAAGCACCCTGTCAAAGGTCCCACTGCCTAATGCCATCATCTTGGCATTTGAATTTCAACATATTAATTTGGGGGGAAGGGCACAAACATTCAGGTAATAGTATTTTCTACTTTTTAAATTTTTATCACCAGAAGAATTTTTACAAAGTTAGGTATACAAAGTGGAAGAGATTTGCGTGGACATTTGGAAATCTAATCTGTGTTCATTCTTGCTCATTTTCAGCAAACCCGATATGTCACGACTCAGACTTGCCGCTGGGAGTGCTATAGTGAAGCTGGCGCAAGAACCCTGTTACCATGAAATCATCACTCTAGAGCAGTATCAGCTATGCGCATTAGCTATCAATGTAAGAAAAATGGCTATATATACAACGACTTTTAGGAAGAAAAGACATTCACTGTGATACATGGATCAAAATCTTGACTGTTTATATTGTCTTTTGAAAAATGTTATTCATGAGAAACATTTCAGAGTTCTAGAACTGTCATTTGAGTTTTGGGTTGCTAAATAGTGCTCTCCATTTTTGTTGCTTGCAGTACTTTTGTTCTGTAAAGTTGCCACAAGCACTGAATCAGCAAATACTGAACAATTGCCCTTAGGAGAAGTACAAGGATAGGGTAGATTAGAGGTTCAAGCCTTTGGTTACAACATTTTTGTCATCCTGTCAGTATGCAATCTTGCGTATGTGTGTTTCTGTTTAAAGACATCTTATTTAATATATATAGTTGTTTCATTAAACTTGAACTCAGCCAACAGCACTATAAGTCATGCCTGAACAAATCTCGTGGCACACGTATCTTCTCTGTAAGGAATATCACAGCTTTCTTGTGCTCTGTACCGTTAGACAGCACTTTAGCACTATGCTTGGGAGCCATTTTAAACAACAAAATCAACAAGCACAAAACTGTGAAAAATGTATAAGAAAACTGAAACAAGAAAGCAGAGCATTGCCTCCCTGGACCTCAGCTGGGAATGTGCATGTCTGGCTCTTCAAATTTTTTGCTGCTCTGTGCATTTGCTTTTCAAATGACCAAGAAATTGCTTCGAGTCTAAATTTTGGTATGGCAGATAATTTTGGCTAGTAGGCAAATCATTAAATACAGAATTTGCAAATAATGAGGATTGATGGTACATACTTCTTAAAATGAAAAAAATTAGAAATTTATGGTTTTATAAAGACATAGCATAGAAATAATTTCAGATTAGAAACGTTTTTTGTTACTTAGTAAGTTAAAGTTTCAGATTATGAGCAGTGATACTTATAGATTCATATTCCAATTTTATGGATTTCTTATTAGAGTAACTTTGTATGTGAACTGTATCACTTTAGAAGTTTTTTGCATTACTAAGAAAATTAAAAAGGACTTTCATAATAGCAGATTCATTCATTATTTGGTTTTCGTACACTCGGTGTTTCTGTTCTTTTCTAAGCAGTCTTAAGAATTTATTTCAGGAATCATTGTAATTCTCCCCCCTCCCACCTTCCTTCTACTGCTTATTTTAAAATTACCACTTATGTACAAGGGGGGACCGCAAAAAAGGAATTTATTTATTAAAAAATTATGTTTTCTTACATGTTTAAACTTCATAACCTTCAAAGAACTCTCTGTTTGATGCAATACACCTATCAAGATTTTTTTCCACTGCTCAAACCAGTGTTTGAACTTGTCAGTTTTGATGCCTTTTAGTGCTGCTGCTATTTTTTGTTTCACCTCTTCCACATTGGTAAAATATTTCCTTTTGAGGACTTTTTTCATCTGGGAAACAGATGAGATTGGAGATTGGGGCAAGGGGTTATACCATTTTTGACCAAAAACTGCTGTACCCTCAGCGTGGTGTAGGCACGTGCATTGTCATGGTGGAAGAACCAGTCATCAGTTTGCCACAACTCAGGACATTTTCTTCTTCCAATCATGATGGAACCATCTCAAAATTTTCAGATTAAAAACAAAATAATTCCGGTTTTGTTTTGGTGTCCCTACTCATATAATCCCCTAGACACAAACAATCACCTGTTTTAAAATTGTAATCATCTTGTCAGTTTTTTTTTACTTCAGTCTTTAAAACAGCTTTCCAAATTCCATTATAATTTTTTTTTTTTTTTTTTTTTTTTTTTTTAGTTTTGTTGACCATTAGAGTCCCTAATTTCCTGGTTTAGTTTCCCCATTTAATTTTGGAGATAATCTTATTTTGTAAGAAACTGAAAATTGTTTTAAAAAGCATACATTACATTTTTAGAAGAAAGCAACCTAGATAATTATTAAATTGGTAAGACTTGCAGTCTGTGATTTATCAGGCTCTTATTCTAATGTTTCTTAGAGTGTTGGACTGTCATTAGTGAAGTGGAATTTTTTTTTAAAGTATGAAAATATAATAAAAGAGATGAACTTTGTTTGGAACTTAAAGCATATAAGAACTATGTTCCAACCATTAAGTGTCCACTGCACGAAAAGCATCCTTACTGACTTCTAAAGAGTTTTTTTTCTAGCACAGTACTTGTCTTACATTGCAACCTCAAGCACCAAATTCCTGAGGTGAAAGTTAAAAAAGCTAAAGCTTTAAAATTGCTTTGGAATTCTGTTGACTGAATAATGTGTTGTTGGTTAAAAGTCAGTTGTTAGCATCTTCTTGCAACCTACACGCATATCAAGGTACCCTATTCTAAACAAAACTTTTCTCTAATTCTCCTCTTCTTGTAAACCACATCCTTATCTCCTATGTTTAAACCTCTGAACCTCAAGAAGGAGAAATCTATATCTTTTCTCTCTTACCCTCTCCTCCTTATATTTTTCTTATATTTTCTACGTACAAGTGCTTAATTTTTTTCCAGAAATGTCTCTGATTTTGAAGTCCTCTGATCCAATGATCTTACCAGTCTTCATTTGTCTTTTTACATCATTTGACATAGCTCATTGCTCCCTTATTCTTCTTTTTTTGTTGTTATTCATTTGTATTTTATTTTTTTTATTTTTTATTTATTTATTTTTCATTAATCAGTATTTTTTATTATGGTTTTGTGGGGTACAGTTAAGGGTTAGGTGTACAATGACGTTTCATTCAGGCACCCTGTAGATAAGAAGTGTTTTCCCATCCCCCGACAGATATTTGCTACTGTTAATCCCATCCCCCTCCCCCCCATAGTTCCCGCCCCTCAGAGACGCTGGTTCCATGCTCCCTTATTCTTAAAGTCTCTTTGGTTTCTGCCTCTTGATTTTCGTCTTACTTCTGACTACATTTTCTGGCTCTTGTTCCTCTTTTCCTTTAAATATATGTATTCTGTGAGGATCTGTCTAGGATCATCTTCTCCACTTACATTTTCTTCTTCGGCCATCTCATTGTCTGTGTAAGTTACTACAATGCCAGCAACATGAAGTTTTTTTTGGGTCTGTGGTCCCACTTGAAATATTAAATAGAAACTTACACCTTTCATATTCTGTCCATATAAACTGTATTTATAATAGGTACCAAATCTATTTTTTCTTGACTTTTAGGGTTTCAACAAATGCTAAATAAATCTGAATGACATTTCTTAGACCTGAAAAGCATGATCTATATTTGACTCTTTGCTTGTCCTTGTACCTTGTTGCAAAAGTGCAGATAATTTTATCCTTTCCCATTTATTATATTATTTTTATTCATACCATCTTAACATTCTTATCACTGTAGCCATCATTAGCTCTCACCAAGACTGTTGTGAGACTTCCTCTTTGTTGTGTAAACTTCTATAATCACCATTATGATCATGTTATTCCTCTGTTTAAAAAAATTTAGAAACTCATACTTGTGAAAACAATTGCACATATTTTACAGCCTGGTGTTTGAGCTCCTTTAGTATACATGTAAAATCTTGTTTGGCACACTGCACTTTGCCTACTCTTATTTCATGTTCTTGAACACTTTTCTTTTTCGTTGTTGCCTCTAATTTTCTTCTCACCCTCACGTTTCCACACATCTTTCTACAAGTCATTGCTGTGACACAACCTTCTTCATAGAACTTGCTCTGAGTCTTTCAACTGGAAATAGTCTCTGTCTTTTTGATTCCCTGTGGATTTTATGTGCAGTTCTCTAATACAGAAAAACTTTGCTTTATGCTTTAGTTATTTATTTACATGTGATTTGATTCTTATGCTTAAGTTTATGCTCTTTTTTTAGATTTTTTTATTTTTGGAGTTGAAGTCTCACTTTGTTACCCAGGCTGGAGTGCAGTGGCACAATCATGGCTTACTACAGCCTTGACCTCTTGGGCTCAAGCAGTCCTTCTGCCTTATCCTCCCAATTAGCTGGGATGACAGGTGCACACCACAATCCCTATCTAATTTTTTTGATATTTTTGTAGAGACGAGGTCTCACTTTATTGCCCAGACTAGTCTCAAAGTCCTGGGCTAAAGAAATCCTCTTGCCTTGGCCTCCCAAAGTGCTGCTGTTAAGACATAAGCCACCATGCTTGACTGAGTTGAGGCTCTTTTTATTTATTTATTTAGTTAGTTAGTTAGTTTTTGAGTTGGAGTCTCACTCCATCACCCAGACTGTAGTGCAGTGGCTGCTCCTGGCCACCGCAACCTCAACCTGCTGGGCTCCTGTGATCCGTCCGCCTCAACCTTCCGAGTAGCTGGAATTACAGGCGCACGCTACCACGCCTGGCTAATTTTTTATTTATTGTAGAGATGAGGCCTCACCAAGTTGCCCAGGCAGGTCTTGAACCCGCGGGCTCAGGCAATCCACTCACCTCAGCCTCCCAAAGGCGCAGGATTACAGGCTGAGCCACCGAGCCTGGCTGAGGCTCTTTTTAAAGGCAATGTTGTATCTGGGAGATCCTTGTTAATGTATTTGAACAGAAAGTAATGTTTGGATGAATAGAGACTCAATAGCATAAATTGTTAACATAATTTAGTAATCTCATAGGCGTTTTAGAATTTGGAATTCAGTTCATGAAAAATTTACTCTGTACTGCTATTTGCAGTGTGTTGTAGGTATTGGAAATACTGAGTAAGTCATGATTACAGCCATCAAGAAGCTAACAACCTCTTAGGGGAACAGAAAATGTAGATAAATGTTGATGACACAATGAAATACACAAAATAAACAAACTATTCATAAGGTATTAAAAGTAGTTCTGAGGTTAATTTGTACTAGTAGAAGCTACTAAAAGTGGATTTACTCAAGATGCGGACTAAAATAAACTTCATAGTCTAGTGAATAAAAGCTTAGATTAAGCCGAGCTCCGTGGCTAAGCCTGTAATCCCGCGCTTTGGGAGGCTGAGGTGAGTAGATTGCCTAAACCTGCAGGTTCGAGACCTGCCTGGGCAACTTGGCGAGACCTCATCTCTACAATAAATTAAAAAAAAAAAAAATTAGCCGGGCGTTGTATCGCACGTCTGTACTTCCAGCTACTTGGAAGGCTGAGATGGAAGGCTGGCTGGAGCCCAGCAGGTCGAGGCTGCGGTGGCCGGGAGCGGCCACTGCACTCCAGTCTGGGCGACAGAGTGAGACTCCAACTCAAAAAAAAGAAGCTTAGATTAGAGCTTTATCTTGGTGAGGGGAATTTTATAGTATTAAATACCATCTAATTTTTCTATATTTAACCAGTTATTTTTTATGATCATAGCCATGAACGATTCCATTTTTGCTTTTTGAAAGTTCATATTTTTCTGATAAAGTTGTATTACTCTATGCTTCACATTTAACTTTTATAATATAGTCAAAAGGATAATCATCTTTGCAGAAAAAACATGTGAAGAATTCTTCAGGTTCCAACAGCAGCTTTTAAAATTTCTGTTCATACGGTTGTCTTGAAATACCTGTGTCATCGTTTCTGTCAGTTTTCTCTTCTTCTGTTTAATTGTTAGTTGCCTTGCCTATGAGTTGACAGTTCTCCAATATCACTCTAATGACTTTTTGAAAACCTGCTATTTGTACGATGACTCATGGATTGACATTGCAATTAATTTGCATTGCATTGATGGGTCCGTAATGATTAGTGAGAGAGGGTCAAAAGCATGGTCTCCATTGGGGATGTATCTACGTATAGGGCCAGGATTTTAGAGTGGAGAGTACTTTTTTAATGATTGCTCTAGTTATTGGTGAATACTTTTCTGATATGTTTATTCTTATGTAGTTTGTAATTTAGTATTTTCATAAGGAAGACTCTTCTCCCCATGGAGTAATACTGAGGAAGGAGCGAGTTAACTTTAACTTTGCTTTGAGTGAGAGGGTAGATAGAAGCTAGACTACTTTGTATGATAATAAACTGAAGTTTAAATTAAGTGAAAGAAGATAGTCAAAACAAGAATTTAAAGATAAGGACAAGATATTATGCTCATGGTTTTGAAAACAACTAAATGATCATTCTAGATAAAAGAATAGTGCACATAAAGTTGCAATAATGTAAAATATACCACACCTGATGTTAATTGGTAGAGGGTAAGGTGTAATCATGAAGGTCTTTGTGGGACATGTAGAGGAGTTGTTGAGTTTTTTCCTTTATAGTCCTCCTTTATCCACGGTTTTAATTACATTACAATAAGATTTTGAAAGAGAGAAAGACCACATTCACGTAACATTCATTATAGTGTATTGTTATAATTGTTATATCTTATTAGTTGTTTATCATCTCTGGCTGTGCCTAGTTTATAAATAAAACTCTCATAGTATGTATATATGTATTTATATATGTACATATAGCAAAAACAGTATATTTAGTATATCCCCAGTTTCAGGCATCTACTAGGGGTCTTTGAACATATCCTCCATGGATAAGGGGAAACTTTTGTGGTTTAGAAAAAATTCTGGTCATCTGCATGTCAGGTATGGTGTTTGGCTTATAGTGACAAAGATGAATAAAGACATAGTTCTTGCCTCCAAGAGACTGACACTGATAGGTAAGACAGACATGTAGACCAGTAACTTGAATGCTGTATACTAAATGCTATGCTGGAGATATGTACAGAGAGCTAAGAGAGCAGAGGTGGATGCAGGACGCAGATTACACCATGCTTTTTGACAGCTAATTGAGCTATCTTTAAAGATGAGTAGGAGTTAGGAGAGTGGGGGTAGGTGATTGAGCAGAGTGAGGAGTATAGCAGAGTAGGGTAGTAAGAGTGAAGTAGGCAAAGGGTAATAAACAACTTGGTTTAATTATAGAACTAAAAGTAATTTGGTGTTTCTGAAATTGATTAGTAACTCTTATCTTCAGAGTTCTGCAATGTGTTTATTAATTTGTCAGGTGATAGAGCCTTGCTGTGTCTGCCTTAGCCTCCGGCGTGGCTGGGACTGCAGCTGAACACCACCCCTTCCAGCTAGAGTTGTGCTTTTTTTATTAAAAAAATTTTTCTAAAGATGTGGGGTACAATTCAGCGTTAAGTATACAAATGTTCATTATGCAGGTACCCTTGTTGATGAGGTGTGCTGACCCCCGATACCTGGCAGTTTCCCAGAACTGCCAATCCCTCTCTTTTAGTATTATGATAATTGTTCAGGGTCCACTTATGAGTGAGAACATGTGATACTCAGTTCTTTGTTTCTGCAACAGAAGAGTTGTGCATTTTTATCTGAATAGGTTTTTCAATTACTGAGTGAAAATGTGTAAATTGAACAGTTTTATCTTGCCTAGGAAGTGAGAAAGCTGTATATGAGATAGTGTTCAAGCTTTAATTTTTATATCATGTAAGTTAGGTTGGATTTATATTTACTAGGTTTTTTTGTTTTCAAAGCGTGCGTATTTTCCAACACATGCAACTGGTAGTTATTAGGGCCCAGGTGAATTCTGCAACCTTGAAATTAACTTGAGTCACAACATCTCACTCTTGTGGACAGTGAAGCAGTGGTTGTAGATAAACTTGCTGATGTTTATCCTTCTTTTTGCTTGATACAGCAAATTTCATATCTGCAGTTGTTACTTCTCTTTACTGCCATGTGGTAATATCTGGAATAATTGTATCTTTACAGGATGAATGCTATCAAGTACGACAAGTATTTGCCCAGAAACTTCACAAAGGCCTTTCTCGTTTACGGCTTCCACTTGAGTACATGGCAATCTGTGCACTTTGTGCAAAAGATCCTGTAAAAGAGAGAAGAGCTCATGCTAGACAATGTTTGGTAAAAAATATAAACGTAAGACGCGAGTATCTGAAGCAGCATGCGGCTGTTAGTGGTAAGCATATAGGAAAATGGAAAGTAGACTATTTCCACCTGCCAGTTTCCGTTTTGTAAACTACAAAATGATATTCTGTTATTTGCTATATACTAATCAGCACTTATTAAGTGACCATTTTTCAATAACTTTTTCATTTAATATAAAGATAATTTAAAAAATATAAATGCATGAGTGTTTGAATATCAACCTGTATCTCTTTATGTAAATGAATAAATGGCCAAGGAAAATAAACTGTGATGTTAGAGGTACTTTTAATTAACTGAAAAGTAAAATTTGTACACTTACATAGATGCCAAGGCACTACCTCACAGTGGAAAAAAGTAGTCTTTGATCTTTGTTGTTTTCACCTATAGCTGACATTAAATGTCAGGTGCTTATGTTGAATTTCTGTCCTCTACCCTACTGCTTTGCTATGTTTCACTTAGATCATTGTATACACTACCTACCTCTTTTAAGTGTTTCCTTGTCTCTAACCCACTGCTGTACCTCATTGCTCTCAAAATCGTCCTTTGAAAACAGATCAAATTATATCACTTCCTTGCTTGAAATCCCTGTTGATTCTCTATTCCTTGTAGGAGAAAGTTGAAACACCTTAGCATGGTCCTTTACAGTTTACTTTCTGCCAGGTTTTCAAGCTTTCTCTTTGTTCGTTTCCTACTGTGAACTCTCTGCTTTTTGTACTCTAGGTGACTTGAGATTTGTTTTTACTCTTTTTACTCTGTTGTCAACTCTGTCTGTAAATTATCTTCCTTTTCTAGACAAACAAAACGCAGGGACATGGTTTGCACCTTTGAATCCTTTAAAATACAGTTTGAGTGTTACTGTACCACTGTGACCTTCTTTCTCTTCCTTTCTTGCCTTGGAAAAAGTGAGGGTTCTGTAGTCACATCCTACCTTTCTCATTTAATCAAATTGTACCCTAGTTGTTTGGTTTTTTTTTTGAGTTGGAGTCTCACTCTGTCACCCAGACTGGAGTGCAGTGGCCACTACCAGCCACCGCAGCCTCGACCTGCTGGGCTCCGGCGATCCTGCCGCCTCAGCCTTTCAAGTAGCTGGAACTACAGGTGCGCGCTACTACACCTGACTAATTTTTTTTTATTTATTGTAGAGATGAGGTCTCGCCAAGTTGCCCAGGTGGGTCTCGAACCCGTGGGCTCAGGTAATCCACTCACCTCAGCCTCCCAAATCGCGGGATTACAGGCTGAGCCAGAGCCCGGCAACCCTAGTTTTCTTATTGGTGAAATTGTTATAATTATGTTCCTTTCTTGTGGTTGCTGTAAGAATTGAAAAAATGATATATATGATCTCTCTCTCTCTCTCTCTCTCTCTCCCCCTCTCCCCCTCTCCCCCTCTTTCCCTCTCTCCTTCTCTCCCTCCCTCCCTCCCTCCCTCCCTCCCTCGCCCCATTCCTACTGACCTTCAAAAAGTTGCAGAAATGATTCGAGAAGAAGGATATGATTCTGTTTTCTCTGTTGTGAGACGCCATCAGTTTCGGTGGAGTGAAATTCAGAAAGGAGGTAATGTGTTATGAGTCTTTATTTTAGCTCATTTTCTGGTGAATCAATTTTCTTAATATGGAAATATTTTTTAGAAGTGAGGAGAGTAAAAAGGAAGAAATAAGAGGAAATTTAATTCATAACTTTAATAGCTAATGACATTAATAATTAGTTCAAAATCTTTTTATTGAAGCAAGACAGCTAGACCCAATTCGTTCTTTACTTTACTCTTTATAAAGAGGCATTCTGATCCTCTATTTCTGTTTACCTTTTAAGGCAAACATGCCATTTTTCTAAATTAAATGCTTTTGTGTTTATTCTAGACTTTTTTGATGAACTCCCTACAAACAATGGGAATAGAAAGTATCTACCCAACGAGTCTTGGACGACCTCAAAAATGAAATTTTTGGACTTGCTTTCCCCAAGTTTGTCACTCTTTATAT